GGCACTATGGATAATGTTCCCATAACAATTGGTTCTGGAGAAAATACAGCCTCTATAATAGATGAATTTTCTGTTGTGCCTGCGGAAAAAGATCAGGATGGAAATGATAAATCTTTAGTAATTCTTGGAACGCAATGGCAATATCGGGCTGGATGGGAGCCTTTAATAAAAGGAGAATTTAAGGCTATATGTAACAGAAAGACTATTACCATCCCTTTATCAGTCAACAAATCCCAGCGCAATGTTTTTACTGTAGGAAAGAAGCCAGAAGAATGGTTTCCTATAGAGACAAAAAAAAACTAGCCTGCAAAACAAGTTTTTATGCTGACCGTACATGTCAATACTGTAGAAAGGAGTTTAGATATCCATGTTGCTTAGTACAGCATATGAAAGCAAAAAATAAATGTAATAACAGTGTCTTGACAGTGAATGACAGTATCTTAACAGTGAACGACAATGTTTTGTTAATGAAAGACAGTGTTCCAATAGTGAATGACAATGTTTTATCAATAATTGACTGTGAAAAAAATACTGTTTCTATTCGATTAATGTTAGCTTAGAAATGATCTGGCTTAGAAAATACAGTTATTGTTTGCACTTTCCTTTCATTTTTTTATGACGTTTAAGCAAATAAGGATATTTGAAATCATGCTTACAAGTTTTACAATAACGGTCAAATAAATTGTCTAGCCCATCATCTACTGAATAATATTCTTCATCATCACTTGATATATCATTTTGTTTACTAGTCTCAGTCTTATTTTTAGATATAAGATTGCTAAGCCTTATATTCTCATTCTTAAGATCAATAACTTGCTGTTTTAGAGAAATTATTTCATCCTGCATTTCTGTAATTTTTCGCATATATGTATTCTCATATTGCAAGTCTATAACTTAGCGTCATAATCTACGATTTTCTGATTTCATAATAGAAAAGGTTTATATAATATAGGTAATAGTTCAAATATTTTTTTTGAATGATCTATAATTGATCTATAATTAATCTAAGATGATTTAGGATGATCTAAGATTAAACTAGACTAATCATCTTAGACACGCATCCTGAAAGTATATTTTTTTCAAATATTTAGATCATTTTTTGCATCTTTCCGCTTTCCAGTCCATAATTTAGTATCATGATGGGAAAAGTATGAACTTGGTTCTATTGTCACATCTCTTCCAACATGAGGGTTATAAGAAATAATCTTATCATTGAGAGTAATAATCTTTAAGTCCTTAGCAAAGATAACATCCTCCA